CTTCCTGCGCTTGCGAGGGACGGAGGATCTGGAGGAGGACGACAGATACTCCTCGAATTTTAGTTGGTCGAACTCGTACTCGACCTCTTCGTAAACCGGGATCTGGATCCGTGGTTGCGGCACGACAGCTTCGGCAGCGAAGCTGTTGGCTCCCACTGTGGTCGCCAGCTTGTTTGGGTCAAAAGTTGATGTTTTCATTGTCATCGAATCTATTATAACTTTGGTCATTACAATAAACTCAAATAAAAAATTGATTTTTTTATAAGATCTCCTTTATACAATAAAAATAAAGATTACAACTCTTGTCAAACAGCGCAACAGACGTTTATCACCCGCTGCTTGTGTGAGTTCTTTGCCTGTGCCGGGGACGTTAATATCCGTGGACCGTCGCGGATCAGATCCGGTTAGCAGAAGTTGGATAATTAATGCTCTTACTTCACAAAGGAAGTAATTGCAGTAGCGGTGATTTTGACTAAGCAAAATCACGGTTCTTCTCGGGATTTAAGACCAAGCTTAAATGCTGAGGAATAGGGGACAAGTCTCAGATCTCTCGAACTCCACTCTTTATGCGCAGGAGATCGCAAAGATCTGCTAACCCTTGCTGTAAATTCGTGGCTCCACTCTCCAATTCGGCAGCGCTTCGCCCTCTTGATCTCCTCCTCGAAAAATGAACACCCGAGCCCCTATTTATAGGCTTAGTTGGCGGTTTTCTTGGATCAAAACGAGTGATTCCCTCTATCTTCAGTTAGCAACTATCTAACAACAATATCAGAGCAGTTGGAACCCCAAATCCCGAAAGAATCCATAAAAGAACCGAAAAAACCGAATTTTGGCCGAACAGTCACCCGTGGCTCGGCCCTGGCCGGGCCAGTGACTTGGTTTTGGCCGAGCCACCATTTGGTGGTTCGGCCGCCGAGTCACCTTCTGGTGATCTGGCTTTGGGCCGAACTTGTATGTTTCCTGACTTTTTCGATTTTCCGGGACTTATAGTTTTTCCCCGTTTCGCGTGATTGATCATCTTGTTGACTTGCATGTTTCGTTGCGGGATTGACCGTTGAACGCGCACGAACTGATTGACGCGCGCGAGCTGATGCGCGTGTTGATTGACGCACGCGGGCCACTTGGTTCGTCGTTTCGCTTCATGCGCTTATCGACGACAGATAATCCTCTTAGACTCGGATAACGACGTTCATCATCTTCTCTCCGTCTCGAGCTGTACGTAGATACCTATAGGCATTTTTAGACGTCTACAGAGAGGATTATCTCCTTGACGCCTATGTGGTACAATCTCCACCATCCTCATAAAGTAGGAGAGAGAGAGTGAGTTGGTGGGGATTTGTGCCTACTTTATGAGGATGATGGGGATTGTGCCACATAGGCGACAAGGAGGAAAATCTCCTCCTATGACAAGGATACTCATTAATCTCTCTCTCTCTCTCTCTCTCTCTCTCTATATATATATATATATATATATATATATATATATATATATACACACATATATATAG